AAATTTAGTTTGGTGATTTCGATCGACATCGTAAAAAGTGTTGTATGTCGAAAAGTTAACACAAGGTTAGCTCATATATGAATTGATGTGGGAGGCTAGGAGAGATATAACTTTTCAAAACTTATCTAGCTATCGGATTCTTCATATTTTACATCTTGCATATATCATGTCTTGGCTTCAGTGGTGCTGTGTACGAAATGAGATCTTTATTTAGTCAGGACTCTATGTTTGTATCACTGATACTGGTAGTTATTTCTGTAAGAGAAAGTCCCTGCTAGGGCGCGAAGAATGTATTCCTTCAGACTGATACGAGAACATTCTCTAGTGATAATCGGATATCTAAGACGTTAACAGTTCTGTTTATTTAAATTCTTTTTTTAATGATTGGGAAAGTGGAGTTCACAACATTAACACGACTGTTACAGTGACGTTAATATGAATACTTGTAAAACGTATCTATACGGCTAAACAACAATAATTACAAGATTGGATGAGGGGTTTCCGATATAAATAGGGGAGTCGTTATCCTGAACAGTTATCATGTACCCACACAAATTAGTAAAAACTGGCAGTTTTCGTCAGTCTAAAAAATAGAATGTTTAAGAAGGGTTTCCTTGGTATTTGGGTAATCCTTTATGAAAGTTTGAACAAATACGATATTTTGAGATGGGGAGTGAAGTTATAAGATGTTTAGATGTTTTATCAGTAGACAAGAAAGGGTCTGGACCAAGAAAATTATTAGGAAATACATTATCAAAGAAAATAACCTTTTCAATACCCTTCTTAAATATTAATTTATGTTTATGTATTATTCTCAGGGCAGTAACGGTATATATGAAACAAGATTTTAATTTCAATAGCAAATAAATGTCATGCTAAAATAAAACAAAACAATTGAATTATTTCTTGTTTTTTAATTATCATTTTAATCAATTTTCTCCGTCCTAACAGAAAAACCAAGTACTATTGTCGTGTACAACTGTATTGCTTACTGCACTCAATTTTGAAAGTTTGCATATACAATGTATTTTAAGAGTGTCATGTCTTTAAAAAATCGAACCTCCTAGGCAATACGAGTGTGCCGTAAAAAACACAAAGTATTTCCTCCTTAGATAGAACATTGAAAACAAAAACACTACATTTCCTTTATGATAAAACACACAAAGTATTTCCTCAAACATTTATAAACACAGAGTACATAGAACATTATACAACAAAAACACAAAGTACAAGAACATTAACAAAAAACACAAAGTATTCCCTCCTTAGATAGAACATTATCCTACAACAACAAAAACACAAAGTATTCCCTCCTTAGATTGAACATTATCCTACCACAACAAAAACACAAAGTATTACCTCCTTAGATAGAACATTATCCTACAACAACAAAAACACAAAGTATTTCCTCCTTAGATAGAACATTATCCTACAACAACAAAAACACAAAGTATTTCCTCCTTAGATAGAACATTATCCTACAACAACAAAAACACAAAGTATTCCCTCTTTAGATAGAACATTATCCTACAAAAACAAAAAACAAAGTATTTCCTCCTTATATATAACATTATCCTACAACACTAAAAACAAAAAGTATTTCATCCTTAGATAGAACATTATCCTACAACAACAAAAACACAAAATATTTCGTTCTTAGATAGAACATTATCCTACAACAACAAAAACACAAAGTATTTCCTCCTTAGATAGAACATTATCCTACAACAACAAAAACACAAAGTATTTCCTCCTTAGATAGAACATTATCCTACAACAACAAAAACACAAAGTATTTCCTCCTTAGATAGAACATTATCCTACAACAACAAAAACACAAAGTATTTCCTCCTTAGATAGAACATTATCCTACAACAAAAACAAAAAGTATTTCTTCCTTTGATAGAACATTATCCTACAACAACAAAAACACAAAGTATTTCTTCCTTAGATAGAACATTATCCTACAACAAAAACACAAAGTATTTCCTACAACAATAAAAACACCTTAGATAGAACATTATCCTACAACAACAAAAACACAAAGTATTTCTCCTTAGATAGAACATTATCCTACAACAAAAACACAAAGTATTTCCTCCTTTAGAACATTATAGAACATTATCCTACAACAACAAAAACACAAAGTATTTCCTCCTTAGATAGAACATTATCCTACAACAAAAAAACACAAAGTATTTCTCCTTAGATAGAACATTATCAAAGTACAACAACAAAAACACAAAGTATTTCCTCCTTAGATAGAACATTATCCTACAACAAAAACACAAAGTAACAACAACAAAAACACAAAGTATTTCCTCCTTAGATAGAACATTATCCTACAACAACAAAAACACAAAGTATTTCCTCCTTAGATAGAACATTATCCTACAACAACAAAAACACAAAGTATTTTCTCCTTAGATAGAACATTATCCTACAACAACAAAAACAAAGTATTTTCTCCTTAGATAGAACATTATCCTACAACAATAAAAACACAAAGTATTTCTTCCTTTGATAGAACATTATCCTACAACAAAAACACAAAGTATTTCTTCCTTAGATAAAACAAAAACACGAAGGATTTCCTCCTTTGATAGAACATTATCCTACAACAACAAAAACACAAAGTATTTCCTCCTTAGATAGAACATTATCCTACAACAAAAACACAAAGTATTTCTTCCTTAGATAGAACATTATCCTACAACAACAAAAACACAAAGTATTTCCTCCTTAGATAGAACATTATCCTACAACAACAAAAACACAAAGTATTTCCTCCTTAGATAGAACATTATCCTACAACAATAAAAACACAAAGTATTTCGTCCTTAGATAGAACATTATCCTACAACAAAAACACAAAGTACTTCCTCCTTAGATAGAACATTATCCTACAACATAAACACAAAGTATTCCCTCCTTAGATAGAACATTATCCTACAACAAAAACACAAAGTATTTTCTCCTTAGATAGAACATTATCCTACAACAATAAAAACACAAAGTATTTCCTCTTTAGATAGAACATTATCCTACAACAACAAAAACACAAAGTATTTCCTCCTTAGATAGAACATTATCAATAAAAAACTACAACAATCCTAAAAACACAAAGTATTTCCTCCTTAGATACATTAACAACAAAAACACAAAGTATTCCCTCCTTAGATAGAACATTATCCTACAACAAAAACACAAAGTATTCCCTCCTTAGATAGAACATTATCCTACAACAACAAAAACACAAAGTATTCCCTCCTTAGATAGAACATTATCCTACAACAACAAAAACAAAGTATTTTCTCCTGAGATAGAACATTATCCTACAACAAAAACACAAAGTATTTCCTCCTTAGATAGAACATTATCCTACAACAAAAACACAAAGTATTTCTTCCTTAGATAAAACAAAAACACAAAGGATTTCTTCCTTAGATAGAACATTATCCTACAACAACAAAAACACAAAGTATTTCCTCCTTAGATAGAACATTATCCTACAACAACAAAAACAAAAAGTATTTTTCCTTAGATAGAACATTATCCTACAACAACAAAAACACTTAGATAGAACATTATCCTACAACAACAAAAACAAAGTATTTCCTCCTTAGATAGAACAGTATCCTACTTAGATAGAACATTATCCTACAACAAAAACACAAAGTATTTTCTCCTTAGATAGAACATTATCCTACAACAAAAACACAAAGTATTTCGTCCTTAGATAGAACATTATCCTACAACAAAAACACAAAGTATTTTCTCCTTAGATAGAACATTATCCTACAACAAAAACACAAAGTATTTCCTCCTTAGATAGAACATTATCCTACAACAACAAAAACACAAAGTATTTCCTCCTTAGATAGAACATTATCCTACAACAACAAAAACACAAAGTATTTCCTCCTTAGATAGAACATTATCCTACAACAACAAAAACACAAAGTATTTCCTCCTTAGATAGAACATTATCCTACAACAACAAAAACACAAAGTATTTCCTCCTTAGATAGAACATTATCCTACAACAACAAAAACACAAAGTATTTCCTCCTTAGATAGAACATTATCCTACAACAATAAAAACACAAAGTATTTCCTCCTTAGATAGAACATTATCCTACAACAACAAAAACACAAAGTATTTCCTCCTTAGATAGAACATTATCCTACAACAACAAAAACACAAAGTATTTCTTCCTTAGATAGACCATTATCCTACAACAAAAACACAAAGTATTTCCTCCTTAGATAGAACATTATCCTACAACAACAAAAACACAAAGTATTTCCTCCTTAGATAGAACATTATCCTACAACAAAAACACAAAGTATTCCCTCCTTAGATAGAACATTATCCTACAAAAACAAAAACACAAAGTATTCCCTCCTTAGATAAAACATTATCCTACAACAATAAAAACACAAAGTATTTCCTCCTTAGATAGAACATTATCCTACAACAACAAAAACACAAAGTATTTCCTCCTTAGATAGAACATTATCCTACAACAACAAAAACACAAAGTATTTTCTCCTTAGATAGAACATTATCCTACAACAAAAACACAAAGTATTTCCTCCTTAGATAGAACATTATCCTACAACAATAAAAACACAAAGTATTTCCTCCTTAGATAGAACATTATCCTACAACAACAAAAACACAAAGTATTTCTTCCTTAGATAGAACATTATCCTACAACAACAAAAACACAAAGTATTTCCTCCTTAGATAGAACATTATCCTACAACAACAAAAACACAAAGTATTTCCTCCTTAGATAGAACATTATCCTACAACAATAAAAACACAAAGTATTTCTTCCTTAGATAGAACATTATCCTACAACAATAAAAACACAAAGTATTTCCTCCTTAGATAGAACATTATCCTACAACAAAAACACAAAGTATTTTCTCCTTAGATAGAACATTATCCTACAACATAAACACAAAGTATTTTCTCCTTAGATAGAACATCATCCTACAACAAAAACAAAAAGTATTTCCTCCTTAGATAGAACATTATCCTACAACAACAAAAACACAAAGTATTTCCTCCTTAGATATAACATTATCCTACAACATAAACACAAAGTATTTCCTCCTTAGATAGAACATTATCCTACAACAACAAAAACACAAAGTATTCCCTCCTTAGATAGAACATTATCCTACAAAAACAAAAACACAAAGTATTTCCTCCTTAGATAGAACATTATCCTACAACAACAAAAACACAAAGTATCTATTTCGCCACTCTCAAGAAATGCATGTAGCGATAATAATGCTTAAAGACAGACTTACTTCTCACAGTTGAATGTGGAAGTGTATTACTATTCGCAGCCACTTTCCCTTCATGTTCGAAATCTGGTTATTTTTTTCACCCAGATTATATAGTCAGAACCTAGTGCTCACTTGGTTTTTAACAACGGCATAAATCGGAATTGACAGACTATTTACAAGTTTCTAATTGATGGTGAAGTGCACCTCACAGCCCGTCAACTGACGAAAGTGTTTAATAAAAGTAGAAAGGAACTTTAACTTACCAGCGAACTCATCTATGTCAATTTTACCGTCGCCATTTGTATCGAGCATGTCTGTATATTCCTGCAACAAAAAAACAAAAAGTGTCATTAATTCATCCAAGTCGATCACGGTAAACTAAGGGGTGGGTAAGGGGTGTTGGCTGAACCAATGGGAGGGGTGGAGGTTGACAGTGACAATGTTGTACTAAGGGGTGGGTGGGTGGGGGTTGACAGTTACAATTAAAGGTGAACTAATGGGGGTGGTAGAGTTGACAGTGACAATGTTGTACTAAGGGAAGGGTCGGATGAGGTCCTTTTATTGTAGTGAGGGCCCGGTAACCAGGACGAAACGGAGGTTAGCTTTTTGTAGCGAGGGCCTGGTAACATGTAACAGAAAGCTTAATACTCAACGTCAAACCAAAAGTTTTCATGCCGAGGTTATCAAACCCTTATCCTTCCATCTACACCAGCAAATGATTGCTCTCTTTTGTATAAACCCCCTCGTCCTTTTGATAATTCTTACCAGTACAGGAATATCCTTAGTGTGTTTGCCCTCCTCGGGGTGGATGAAATACATGAATTCCGCTTTCGTCAGAAGATTATCCTTGTTAGCATCGGCGGCCTCCCAACGTCGTCTTTCCTCCTTCACCCTGGCCCTTTTGGTATAAAGAGGTGAGTGGGGACTATCGGGGTTCTCTGTAAAGTATACACTAAACAGCTCAATACACGTTACATAGAGGTTAACGCAAGATCTCACAACAGAACATGTAAAACAGTCGTAATACACCTGTCTATTACAGAGAACTTCTACAACAGTTGTAATACACCTGTCTATTATAGAGAACTAGTAAAGCAGTCGTAATACACCTGTCTATTATAGAGAACTTACACAACAGTCGTAATACACCTGTCTATTATAGAGAACTTATAAAACAGTCGTAATACACCTGTCTATTACAGAGAACTTGTAAAACAGTCGTAATACACCTGTCTATTATAGAGAACTTGTAAAACAGTCGTAATACACCTGTCTATTATAGAGAACTTGTAAAACAGTCGTAATACATCTGTCTATTACAGGGAACTTGTAAAACAGTCGTAATACACCTGTCTATTACAGAGAACTTGTAAAACAGTCGTAATACACCTGTCTATTACAGAGAACTTCAGTAACATAGCAGTGATAGAGAACTTGTAATACAGTAACATACCAGTGATAGAGAACTTGTAATACAGTAATACAGTAGTGCTAGAGTGATACAGAACAGTGTAAACACTTGTAATACATAACAGTGATAGAGAAAGTGTAATACAGAAACATACCAGTGATAGAGAACTTGTAATACAGTAATACAGCTGTGATAGAGAACTTGTAATACAGTAATACAGCTGTGATAGAGAACTTGTAATACAGTAACACAACAGTGATAGAGAACTTGTAATACAGTAATATACCAGTGATATAGAGAACTTGTACAGTACAGTAATACATAACAGTGATAGAGAACTTGTAATACAGTAACACAACAGTGATAGAGAACTTGTAATACAGTAACACAATAGTGATAGAGAGCTTGTAATACAGTAACATAGCAGTGATAGAGAACTTGTAATACAGTAACATACCAGTGATAGAGAACTTGTAATACAGTAACACAGTAGTGATAGAGAACTTGTAATACAGTAATACAGCTGTGATAGAGAACTTGTAATACTGCAACACAACAGTGATAGAGAACTTGTAATACAGTAACACAATAGTGATAGAGAACTTGTAATACAGTAACATACCAGTGATAGAGAACTTGTAATACAGTAATATAGCAGTGATAGATAACTTGTAATACAGTAACATAGCAGTGATAGAGAACATGTAATACAGTAACATAGCAGTGATAGAGAACTTGTAATACAGTAACATACAGTGAATACAGTGATAGAGAACTTGTAATACAGTAACACAACAGTGATAGAGAACTTGTAATACAGTAATAGCAGTGATAGAGAACTTGTAATACAGTGATATATATACAGTAACACAACAGTGATAGAGAACCAGTGTAATACAGTAACACAGCAGTGATAGAGAACTTGTAATACAGTAACACAACAGTGATAGAGAACTTGTAATACAGTAACACAACCAGTGATAGAGAACTTGTAATAATAGCAGTGATAGAGAACTTGTAATACCGTAACATAGCAGTGATAGAAAACTTGTAATACAGTAACAAAGTAGCGATAGAGAACTTGTAATATAGAAACACAACAGTGATAGAGAACTTGTAATACAGTACAGTAACACTAGTGATATACCAGTGATAGAGAACCTGTAATACCGTAACATAGCAGTGATAGAGAACTTGTAATACAGTAACACAGCAGTGATAGAGAACTTGTAATACAGTAACATAGCAGTGATAGAGAACTTGTAATACAGTAACATACCAGTGATAGAGAACTTGTAATACAGTAACACAGTAGTGATAGAGAACTTGTAAAACAGTAATACAATAGTGATAGAGAACTTGTAATACAGTAATATAACAGTGATAGAGAACTTGTAATACAGTAACACAACAGTGATATAGAACTTATGATACAGTAACACAATAGTGATAGAGAACTTGTAATACCGTAACATAGCAGTGATAGAGAACTTGTAATACAGTAACATAGCAGTGATAGAGAACTTGTAATACAGTAACATAGCAGTGATAGAGAACATGTAATACAGTAACATAGCAGTGATATAGAACTTGTGATACAGTAACACAATAGTGATAGAGAACTTGTAATACCGTAACATAGCAGTGATAGAGAACTTGTAATACAGTAACATAGCAGTGATATAGAACTGGTATTACAGTAACATAGCAGTGATAGAGAACTGGTAACACAGTAACATACCAGTGATAGAGAACTTGTACTACAGTAATACAGCTGTGATAGAGAAAGTGTAATACAGAAACATACCAGTGATAGAGAACTTGTAATACAGTAATACAGCTGTGATAGAGAACTTGTAATACAGTAATACAGCTGTGATAGAGAACTTGTAATACAGTAACACAACAGTGATAGAGAACTTGTAATACAGTAATATACCAGTGATAGAAAACATGTAATACAGGAACACAACAGTGATAGATAACTTGTAATACAGTAATATACCAGTGATAGAGAACTTGTAATACAGTAACACAACAGTGATAGAGAACTTGTAATACAGTAATATAACAGTGATAGAGAACTTGTAATACAGTAACACAACAGTGATAGAGAACTTGTAATACAGTAATATACCAGTGATAGAGAACATGTCATACAGTAATATAACAGTGATAGAGAACTTGTAATACAGTAACACAACAGTGATATAGAACTTGTGATACAGTAACACAATAGTGATAGAGAACTTGTAATACAGCAACACAACAGTGATAGAGAACTTGTAATACAGTAATACAGCTGTGATAGAGAACTTGTAATACAGTAACACAGTAGTGATAGATAACTTGTAATACAGTAATATGCCAGTGATAGAGAACTTGTAATACAGTAATACAGCTGTGATAGAGAACTTGTAATACAGTAACACAACAGTGATAGAGAACTTGTAATACAGTAACACAATAGTGATAGAGAACTTGTAATACAGTAACATAGCAGTGATAGAGAACTTGTAATACAGTAACATAGCAGTGATAGAGAACTTGTAATACAGTAACACAGTAGTGATAGATAACTTGTAAAACAGTAATACAATAGTGATAGAGAACTTGTAATACAGTAACATACCAGTGATAGAGAACTTGTAATACAGTAATATAGCAGTGATAGATAACTTGTAATACAGTAATACCGCTGTGATAGAGAACTTGTAATACAGCAACACAACAGTGATAGAGAACTTGTAATACAGTAACACAGTAGTGATAGATAACTTGTAATACAGTAATATAGCAGTGATATAGAACTTGTAATACAGTAACACAGTAGTGATAGATAACTTGTAATACAGTAATATAGCAGTGATATAGAACTTGAACAGTAACACAGCAGTGTAAGAACTTGTAATACAGTAATATAGCAGTGATATAGAACTTGTAATACAGTAACACAGTAGTGATAGATAACTTGTAATACAGTAATATAGCAGTGATATAGAACTGGTATTACAGTAACATAGCAGTGATAGAGAACCTGTAATACAGTAACATAGCAGTGATAGAGAACTGGTAACACAGTAACATACCAGTGATAGAAAACTTGTACTACAGTAATACAGCTGTGATAGGAAACTTGTAATACAGTAACATACCAGTGATAGAGAACTTGTAATAAAATAATACAGCTGTGATAGAGAACTTGTAATACAGTAATACACCAGTGATAGAGAACTTGTAATACAGTAATATAACAGTAATAGAGAACTTGTAATACAGTAACACAACTGTGATAGAGAACTTGTAATACAGTAATATACCAGTGATAGAGAACTTGTAATACAGTAACATAGCAGTGATAGAGAACATGTAATACAGTAACATAGCAGTGATAGAGAACTTGTAATACAGAAACACAACAGTGTTAGAGAACTTGTAATACAGTAATATACCAGTGATAGAGAATATGTCATACAGTAATATAACAGTGATAGAGAACTTGTAATACAGTAACACAACAGTGATAGAGAACTTGTAATACAGTAACACAATAGTGATAGAGAGCTTGTAATACAGTAACATAGCAGTGATAGAGAACTTGTAATAAAATAATACAGCTGTGATAGAGAACTTGTAATACAGTAATATAGCAGTGATAGATAACTTGTAATACAGAATATAACTTGTGATAGAGAACAGTAATACAGTAATAAACAGTGATAGAGAAGTAATACAGTAATACAGTAACAGCAGTGATAGAGAACTTGTAATACAGTAACACAATAGTGATAGAGAACTTGTAATACAGTAACATATCAGTGATAGAGAACTTGTAATACAGTAACATACCAGTGATAGAGAACTTGTAATACAGTAATATAGCAGTGATAGATAACTTGTAATACAGTAATACCGCTGTGATAGAGAACTTGTAATACAGCAACACAACAGTGATAGAGAACTTGTAATACAGTAATACAGCTGTGATAGAGAACTTGTAATACAGTAACACAGTAGTGATAGATAACTTGTAATACAGTAATACAGCAGTGATAGAGAACTTGTAATACAGTAATACAGCTGTGATAGAGAACTTGTAATACAGTAACATACCAGTGATAGAGAACTTGTAATACAGTAATACACCAGTGATAGAGAACTTGTAATACAGTAATATAGCAGTGATAGAGAACTTGTAATACAGTAACATACAGTCAGTGATAGAGAACTTGTAATACAGTAATACAGCAACAGTGATAGAGAACTTGTAATACAGTAATACACCAGTGATAGAGAACTTGTAAACAGTAATACACATAGCAGTGATAGAGAACTTGTAATACAGTAACATACAGTGATAGAGAACTGTAATACAGTAAATACAGAGAACTTGTAATACAGTAATATACCAGTGATAGAGAACTTGTAATACAGTAATATACAGTGATAGAGAACTTGTAATACAGCGCAGTATGTGTGTAATACAGTAACAGAACTTGTAAGAACAGTAATACACCTGTCTAGCAG